ACCCGGCTTCGCGGGAACCGAGCCGCGTCTCCGGGCGGTAACGGTGCCTTTCCCTCTGGAGGGGTTTGCACTGAGCGCCCACTGGGTTCGGGGCAGGATGACCAGTGGTTTCCGGATTTCCACGTTGGCTGGGGGTGAAGGGGAAGTGCATTTCCCTCGCGGTGCAAATCTCACTTAGCAGGTGGCTCACATCTGCCTTCTCTCGCAGGGGATTTACTCGAAAGCTAGTTGGTCACGTTCTCGGGAGAAACGGAGCCCACGCCGCCCCCTGTCCCTCCGCCTTGGGCAGGGAACTGATGTCTGGACACGAGCGGGAGCAGTTCCTTCGCTCGCGGCTGCCCCCCTTCTTGCTTCTCTGTCCCCCCACCCCCAGGTCCTTCCGTGTCACAGGGACTCACTCATCGCGCATACAAGCTGGGCATATAGGGATGAAGGGATGGACTTGGCCGTCAGTGGGAGTCCCCAGGGTGCAAGTCCGTTTTGTTGTTACCTTAGGGAATCCTAACAAGTGTAATTAATGTCAGAGCCCTTGCGTCAGGGAAAACCTTACACGTGAGTTGCTTTGATGGAGCCAGGAATTGTGATATTTTATTTGACATTTCTTTTTTTTGCCACTTCTTTATTCCAGGATGTCATCAGGTTTTTGCCTGGCCTTTGGCTGTAGGCTCCTGTCTTATCTCCCTGGTTCTATCTTAAATTCTTCTGATTCAATGTCCCAATGTGGGGATTTTTCTAAAATAAACTTTGTTTAACCCTGCTCTAACTGCTAGGTCTTATTTGTCACTTTTCCAAGAGACTAGGACAGTTCTTGGCAATTAGGAGGCAGGCAGGGTGACTATGAAATCAAGTTATTATCATTTAGTTCAAAGACTAGTGCCTAGACTCTGTGCGATTAAGCTGTAACTAGTCCTATTAATTCACTAACATCCGTTTTTTTTAACCGTTTATGGTATGGAGGATATGTGATAGCTGGACTTGGCCCTGCCCTCCAGCTTACATGAACGACAATACAAGGCAACTGGAAATTTAAGGTGCCTAGTTTAGGAGCTCACAGTCATTCATCTTTACCAGAATTTTAGTTTTGTTTGGGTTTTTTTTTTTTTTTAACAATTGGATGTATTAACCAATCTGGTGGCTTTCTATGGCTTCAGAGGGCAGTCTTTCATGCTCTTTTCTATTTCGTGTTAATCTCTGAAATGAATTTGAAGTCTTATTGGCATTATCCATTCAGTGTCTTGTGCCAAAAAGTTATTTCGCAGGTTATATTGCAAAAGTACACTCGTGTGTTCTGGGGGTGAGTGGCTGGGAAGCATGGACCATGCATCTTCCATGGGGGTGCTCCTTAGGTAGCAGTGAAGCAGGGATGATCCTCCCATGATGTTCTGTCCTCCTCTTAGAAGTGTTTTTATGATAAATGATGACTGAACAAATGAAGGCTACCTGTCTTACATCCCAGGAGTTTGAAGAAAATTCTTGTATGTATCATCCCATTTCCCCCTACTCTCCCTTTGTGAACCATAACTGCTCTTTACCTTCTCTTCTATTGGAGTTTCTCCACTTATAGCTGTGTTTCACCCATCACAGATCTGTTGCCAAGGAAGAGGAGGTGTGAATAATAAATATTACCTTATTTATACATGTCCACTAATAGCTGGTGAATGCTAATCTTCAAGATCTTGGATAGGCTGGACCAGGGTCATTTGAGAGTTAAGTTAAATGAGTACTAGTGCACTCCAACTGCATGCAAGAGCAACCTGGAGAGACTTTAACAGCTCAGATCAGCATAATACCTGCAGCTGCCACTTGCCTTGCCTGTATCTCAGGGAAAGAAAAAAAAATGAGTACTAGTGCATAGTTGTCACCTCCACCCCCATTTCAAGGGATTAACAGCCACTTTAATAATTCCTTGTTCAACTATACGCATATGTTAATAAGTATACTCCCTCTCTTGGCAGTTTGTACTTCAAAATAAACTTGATTTTCCATCATCAGTGTCATGACTCTTAAAACATTTTGCTCATACATGAATGGCTTAGGTCATGCACTGTATGTAATGATTGAGCATGTCATTCTATAAAAAGTGTGTTTTTGAAGCCAGATGCTGTTTCAGAACAGAGGAGTAAAAATGGGTGAATATTATTTCCTTTCCTGAAACCGCTAATATAATAGTCTCTTTGGAAAGATAGGCATGTTCATTAACACCAGGCATGTCACTTAAAAGAGGCTGTTACTTAATTGTATGAATGACAGATTACAAATAAAATACAAATGCAGAGAAATGGGCATTTCAGGCTGTATTTGCCGGGTTTGGCATCAAATAGGAGTTAGAATTTGTTGATGATTTGTCTGTGATCAGAGAATATTGAGAGAAGGAGTTTGGCCATAACCATATCAGGATTGTTGTGGGGGGAGGTGAAGGATGAAGATGAATAGATAGGTTTCAGCCAAAAATCTGGATGCCAAACTAAGACATTTGGAGTTTATCTTATAGACAGTGTATGATGCACTAATGATCAGGGCTGGGGGGTGAGCTAAAGAGATAATGATGTGAAAGCTGTGCTTTAGGAATGAATGAACAAGACAAATTACCAGAGAAGAAAGATTGAGAGGCAGTTGCAATAGTCCTGGCATGAAGTATAAATAAAAGGGAGGGGAGGATTAATGTGAGATGCTTAGTAGAGGAAGATTTAACAGGCATTGTTGAGTAAAAGAATAGTCCCAGGTGGTGGGTACAAAGATTCGAACCAGAATACCTTGGTGGTGTTTTAGAGAGACACCACCTTACTTTTGGCTTTTTCTTTTTTCCGGCAGTGACGCAAGAGAGGAAAGGGGCACAGTTCATTAAAGTAAATGGGGGCAAAAGTACTAAAATATTTTGATAAATTTAACTTGTAAATAAACACCTGGCAGTGAAGATAGGATATACAGGGTGGGGGCAAAAGTAAGTTTACAGTTGTGAGTACACAAAACACAGAATTTATTCTTGTATTATTATTTATTAATTACTAGAGGCCTGGTGCACAGCCTTCATGCACTGGAGGAGGGGGATCCCTCAGCCCAGCCTGTGCCCTCTCGTAGTCCAGGACTCCTCAGGGGATGTCTGCCTGAGGATCGCGCCTAAGCCGGCAATCAGACATCCCTCTCGCAGTCCGGGGCTCAGGCAATCCAGGACTCCTCACTCTTTAAAGCCCGCCTGCAGCGGAGGCGGGAGAGGCTCCCACCATCGCTGCTGCGCTTGCCAGCTGTGAGCCGGCTGTGCAGCGCTCCCCTTGTGGGAGTGCACTGATCACCAGGGGGCAGCTTCTGCATTGAGCATCTGCCCCCTGGTGGTCAGTGTGCATCATAGTGACCAATCATTCTGTGGTTTGGTCAATTTGCATATTAGCCTTTTAAGGACGAGATAGGTATAGAAAATCATGGTGAAGCAGATCTTCAATCTGAAAGAAAAAAAAGGTGTTACTAGTCTCCTATAAACTTAGGGCAGGGAGGCATCCACTTTCAAAAAAAAGAACAAAGAAGAAGAAAACATAAAACATGTT